TCCTTCGGCGTGTTTCTGGCGTTCGATTTCAGAAAAAAACTTCCCACGTTTTGACGCTTGAAATTAGGGTTAATCATTTCATAAGTTTGTAGTGTTTCATAAATCAACAAAATGAGAATTGTCAAAATCAAGTCTCAGTAATCAGTACCCAACCTTTTGCCATCTTGTCGTCACATTTGCAGCTAATTTTTGCAAAAAGTTAGCGAGTCTGGCTCCAAAAAAGTCGTCTAACTAGCGCCTGAGTCAGGTTCCGGCTTGAGTCGGTTTCTGAGAATTCTGAAACCGAAGTCTTCGCTGACCCCTATCGAAAGGTCATCGACTTGAGATGAAAACGTCACTACTGTAGAATCAAAAACGTAAAAGAAGTGAAGATTGAAAATGGAGCTGAATACTACGCAGGTGAAAGAATTCAGCATTGGAACGCGATATCCAACAAAGCGATTATGAGAAAATTAAGGCAAAGAACAAAGGCAACGATGTGAGTATGTCTTCACCTCAGTGACACATTCTTGATCGTGGAATCCGCCCATGATATTGGGTCATTTCAAAAGTTTTTCGTTTTGAGCTCCGACATTGGTACCATGTTCAAGGGAACGTCAGAGGGCTAATGGGGGTTGCTATATATGGAGTAGAGAAAATTCTTCAGTTTTCGGGGGTTCGTCAAAAATGTCGAGACCGCCTTGTAAGGAAGTTTGTACGGCTGTGAAGTCGACATATAAAAACGCAAATTTTGATTGACTGCATTCTCTAAGCTGAAACTTGAATGAAAGGTAGTCGAGGGAGCAACCGTAATTTGCATCGTACTAGCAGGGATACCTCTTTCTTGTGAGTGGTCAAGGCCAGTGCAAGAAATTAGATTTAGGAAACGAATAGCCAAATTTTCTCAATGTCTTGGAAGGTTAGTTGCCATCTAGACGAGCAGTTCAAAGGGATTTCTGGCGCAAATCGCAAATGCAGCTGTGCCAAATAATCAGCATGCCTTAGGCCTCGGGCATACCTCACGCGATTTCAGTCGCGACGCGAATTGGCAATACTCCAAACGTTCATAACTCATCGTACGGGGTTTCTGAATGTATGGAAGATGGGGCATTTTATCAACTTACGAAAGTTATACATGCTGTGCATTTGGGGTCTACCAGTATTGAATTTGAAGACATCTGGCAAACTGCCAGATCGCGTGGCGACTGAAATCGCGTGAGGTATGTCCCCTGCCTTAAGATGTCATTCAACTCCATTAGAAGCCACCTTGGCAAAAACTTCAACACATGTCGATTAAGCAATTTCAACACTTTATTATGATTTCGCTCCCATTCGCGCAATCGCATCCAAATTTCCAGCGTACACTTACCTTCACTTAAAATTTCGGAATTTTTTTCCTAAATATTGCAGAAAAATTTCTTCGTTTACGTTGTAGTCAAGAGCATGCTCTATCATTCTGCACATTTTGCTCAGTGGAAGAAGCAGTTATTGTGAAGTCGTGGACGCATTCCATCACGACTCACGACAGGCGGACTCGTTTCGAAGGGCTGCTTTAAAGCCAAAAAAGGCAATTCCAAAGTTCGAGAGTTGCGCTCTATTTGTAAAGGTTCGACTTATGTGTGCACCAATTTTTTTTTAGGTAATTTTCTTCTGATTTTATCTGAAAAAATACTAGCTCCCAGATTTTGCTCCACCCTGAAAATAAGAAAATTGATGCATCTTATCGGAAATTATATACAAAAGTCTTTCTGTCTTTTGCATATTTGCTAAAGTCCTTTAGATTGTATGCAACTGTAAATACTCACCCAGATTATAGTGTCATCCGTCTACTCACCTCGGTGCGATGTTTTCAGGCAATCAAAGGCTCTCAGCCGGCCCCACCAAAAGCGCCGTTGCCTCATCGCCGCCACTTTCGCTTCGCGCTGAAGACTTTATGGCAGCCCGCCCGCTGCCAGTTCTAGCAAAATTTTTCAGCGGGAAACGAAAAGTGGCGGCGATAAGGCAACGGCGCTTTTGGTGGGGCCGGCTGAGAGCCTTTGATTGTCTGAGTTGTAAGCGCACACAACTTGAAATCCCGGAAGCTAGGGTCCCGCGGCGTCGTACCTACCCAAGCGCGCAGTACGGCTAAAATTTAACGCCAAAATGCCTGCTCTTCCTATTGTTATGTTTTTTTCCTTCTTAGCTTCACAAACGATCTAATAATAAATTTTATCGAGTTGTCACCTTTATGCGTCGTGTATGCCGTTTTAGAACGAATACCTTGAGAATTTATCGCTTTTACTTTTAGGCAAAAGAAGAGATGAACAATCTTGCAATATTTTGAAGAAGTCTGCTATCTTTACTACCGTCATACGTAGAAAGAATAGATACCTTTTGTGCAGTCTGAGTTTCTGCTTGAAGCACTTGCTTTTTCTCACTATCGACTTAGAAAAAGCTTTCCAATAGGAACTCGGCATGGAAAACCGTTTCCGATATCAGTGAGAAAGAAGCTGAAACTCGTGTCTGAGGGTAATCTTTCCTTTCATACGACTACACTGAAAAGCAGACTTATATACCTCAAAATCCTACAATATTTCCGATCTGCCTCCCCTCCCTGAAAGCAGAAGTGATAAATTTTAAAATATTCGCAAATATCGTGCATTTTAACACCAAAGTCGTCACCTTTATGTACATCGACTCTATGTTTTCCCAATGGTGATGACAGCATACCTCGCCTTTTGCTGGCCAGATGTTTCTTCAATGTAATACATATGAAGTATCCTTCCAGTCTCTCCTATATATTGGGTTGATGCAAAAGTTCTTTCGCACGATTTTCAAAAATTCATAACTTCCGATTTTTTCAACCAATCTGGCCGCTTTTATTTTTGTATGAAAGAGTAACTCATGCTCTTCATAATGACATCTTAGCTGCTTGCTAATGAGCATCTGTTTCATAGATACGAGCGATAGAAGAAAATCGGTCAAAATTTGAATTTTCTGTGTAGGGCCATAAAAAAACGGAAACTTGCAAGAAAAATCGGAGCAGTCAGTATTGTAGGTCCTTTTACCAGCTCTTTTTAATGGTGCAAAGTTTGCGTCGATTGAGCGTCTCTACCAAAAGTTATGATTTTCCTGAAAAATGCCAAAATAAATCAAAATCGCCCTTTTGTATTGCTTGCTCGAAAATCATAACTTTTGATAGAGACGCTCAATCGACGCAAACTTTGCACCATTAGAAAGAGCTGGTAAAAGGACCTACAATACTGACTGCTCCGATTTTTCTTGCAAGTTTCCGTTTTTTTATGACCCTACACAGAAAATTCAAATTTTGACCGATTTTCTTCTATCGCTCGTATCTATGAAACAGATGCTCATTAGCAAGCAGCTAAGATGTCATTTTGAAGAGCATGAGTTACTCTTTCATACAAAAATAAATGCGGCCAAATTGGTTGAAAAAATCGGAAGTTATGAATTTTTGAAAATCGTGCGAAAGAACTTTTGCACCAACCTAATAATTTGTTCCACCTTAAGCACTCTAACTGGTAAACAACAATATCCTTTGTACAATCACCCAACTTCCTTTATGGGCAGACAATGCAGTTTTCAAATATACAGTGAGATATCATACAATCTATTTCTGATCAACCGCTTTCTGATAGTATTCTCAGTTTTCCAAATGGTGATGACATTGTATCTCGCCTTTTGCTGACCAGATGTTCCTCCAATCTAATACTTAGTATCCTTCCGGTCTCTCCTATATAAGTTGTTCCAAAACAACTGTGGTGCTGAATTGAAGGAATATCTGGCCAGCAAAAGGCGAGGTACAATGTCATCACTATTGGGAAAACATAGAGTCGATACACATAAAGGTAACGATTTTGATGCAAAGGCCGAAATTCAAGAAAAAATTTAGAGGCAGCATGGATATCCTCCGGAAATCCGGAGATGAATAATAAAAATGAATGCTTGACAATGATCAGTGACTTCTTGCCTTTCGTATCATTATGTCACCTATAACCGCAGACTATATGGTGTCCCTAAAGTATGTATATACCTTAAAGTACCATTTTGTAGAGCTAGCTTCAACTTAGATTTGCAGTATGGAGCAAACCGCCGATTTCTCTTCCTTACTGTGGGATTATGGTAAACACTTTTGGCTTATAGCGTCATTATGAGTGCTGTCATGCTTCAAAGAAAGTTTTCAGAAATTCTGAAAAGTGAGATACCAGGACCTTACGCGCGCTGAATTTTTCAAACGTTGTGATCACAATTTTGGGAAGCATTGTTAAGGTAGCTGTTACGGTTTAACAGGCATAAATTATGAAGAAATCGCGGTTAAACGCAAAGTTCATATGCGGTTGTAGCGGCTCTAATTAGTCAAGTGTGAGAGCTTCCAAATCGTTTGGTTTGCTTTGTAAGGCGAAATAGGATCCTCAATGCTCAAAACCCTTCTTGAATTTCTTTCCGTAATCCTACAATAATGAAGAAAGGTCGTTGATCTGCTCCGTACTGTAAATCTAGCTTGGGGCTAATTTTACGAAATGGCATCTGTAGGTAGACCAAAGATTTCTAGGAAAGACAGATGAAGATGGGTAGGTGACGCACATTATTTGACTAACATACAAAGGCCGAAAAATAATGTGCTTCAAATAAGATTCGCACTAGAGTGCCCATCTTATTCGTAGCACCTTATTTCCGGTTTATTTTCCGCCAGCTACCCTGTTAAAATAAAATTAACGACTTCTTTTCTTGATTTCCACTATTTTCACCGCTCATTTATACTAAAAAAAACAATGTTTTTACTGAAAGTTAGAGAATCGCTTTTCGTTTTGATTTCTCATGTACCCGGGATATTTTTCATGGTGATTCCGAATGCAGTATGCATTTGCGAGGTCACACCGGCCGTGACATTTGAGTGTCCTTATTGAAGCCTCTTGTCAAAGTGTTTATCTCTTCCTGTCAAACGCGAAAACATATTTATGCCCTCGATGATTCACGGTTGAAAATTGCAATTCTTTTATTAATTCACGTGAAACTTATTACTATACGACAGCTATAGCCACAGCTGAAAATCCACTCTTCTCTCCAATTGAATCGGAGTTAAAGTTCACAAACATTTCATTCAAAGTTGAAGTGAATGTCTTGTTGCCAGATGCTATCTGTCCGCTGAATCTGAAAACAGAAATCGGAGTGATCATTGTTGGAATGAGTAGAGCCAGTATCAGAACAAATCCTAGGTGCCCGTGCTTCTTAAGAGGCTCAAAGGCAGTGGCTCGGCAAAATCGAACATCATGAAATTTTGGTATGGAAGGTTGCTTGCATCCCGAACATGAGAACAGAGCAATTCCGAGCGCACAGCATGCTGCTTCTGCCCAGAAAACTGCCCTAAACCCGTGCGCGCAAGCCATTCTTACACGCGCTGGACGAGCTTGCGATTCCCCTCCCATCGTCAGAGGAGGCATGCCGTAGTGCTATACACATGAGGGTCCTGCGACTTTACGTCTCTAACCATGGCGGGGAGTGTTCTACTCATGCGAATTCAAAATAAAGGGCCTTGGAAAATGTTGTTTTCTGACATTTTCGTGCTCTCTAAGGTGGATTTTCGGATTCAGGGAGCCGAGTTACCCCAGGTAAGCGAAAAAAAACCTCAGGTTGAGGATTTGCCGAGCCACTGCCTTTAAGAGGATGTGATAGGCGAGACAAGCATCTGCTAGCGCCAGCTCTTTTTGAATCATAAACCAAGAAACCATCTATGAACTTTTGCTTAATACCGTACCCCTTTAGGCGGGTCAATCAGCGAATCTTTTGCGCATTTGGCTATGAATTTCTCAGTCACAAATGGACCACATGAGCTGCCATTGGGTGAAAGGCTTACAAGGGAAGCGTGTTTGGTCGAAGTGGCGTTTTTGAATGAGACTCATACCACTTTGGAGAGCATTGGACGGTGACTCCAAATCTCCCTTCACTATCTGCCAAGCGCCTCTGGACGCCGAGTTATGACCTTTTTTGGAACGAAAAATGAATGCAAAATTAGGTAAAATCGATTGTTACAATCTTTCCAGCGCTCATATAGAGCAATGTTGAGTATTAGCATATTATGCAAAATGTATCCATTGCATGAACTGCTCTGATACTCGAAACAGGACCATTTGAGCAAATTTGGGCGATTTTGCTCCAGCTTTGGGTTCAATTTTTTGACCCGAAAAAACGCCCATAACTCGGCGTCCAGAGACGCTTGGCAGATATTGGAGGCAGATTTGGAATCATTGTGCAATACTCTCCAAAGCAGTATAAGTCTCATCTGAAAAGATCACTTCGACTATACACGCATCCCTTGTTAGTTAGACCCCTTTAAGCACTATCCACCTGAGGCAGTATATTTACATAAGAAATCCAGGCACTTGTACCTGTCTGGACGCTCATTCAAGGAGGCAACATACCTATCTAGCAAAACGTAATATGGGGTGCCATCGTAGTCGTAAACGTCAATGATATCGCAACATTGCTCAGTGTCTATCGCTCCAAACGCCAAATGTATTCTGAATAAAGACTTTCCTATTATAGTTAGAGTAACCATATCTTCGACTTGCCTGTGCTCATTATCGGTTGTCAGTTGATAACGACATTGCGTTAGAGCTGGGTAATTTCTTGGATAATTCGGGCTTGTGATCTAAAGAATCACCTGGAATTCTTAATTTCTGAACAGGAAACTCTTACATTGATAGGTACAACAGAATTTTGGTTGCAACCACTAGGATTGGTTGGTGACGGCGTAATGGTGACCATGGGCGAAGTTGTTATCACTGAAATTAGTCTCTCTCAGTTTCTGATCAGTTTGTTGAGTCTGTTGGCACACCTTTTGTCATTTAGCATCTATCACTTTGACTTACACAAAAGAATTTACACTATGGTCCAAACTTGTCTGTTATTGGATCTTAGTGTCATAGCAGCCATTTTAGCGCAACGCATCAATGGCTTCTAAGGAGCATTACAAGAAATGCAGCATGATAATATATCGCTCCAATTTTTTTCCGAAATGATACAACCTACAGCAAGTTTTATGGACAATGTGAAGACTATTCTTAATTTTTTTTTCAGAGTAACGCTGAAGAAGCTTCATGCAGCATGAAAAGTTGGCCGTGTGCCGAGTGCCAACCCCGTTCCAGCTCCATACGTGGCTCATATTGACTGATTCCTTGACGGCGCTGTAACAGCGCTGGCACGGGCACTTTGAACACAGCCTAAGGCATCATGGTGGTTTAACCACACATCGTCGTTCTCTCTTGACTTTTAATCAGCAATATTATTGTGATATGTGCTTGTCATCAATCCTCTTAATTTATTCTGCTTTTTGTGACTAACCATTCTCTTTGGAGAAAAGTTCGCTTCCCATCTGTTGAATCCATCACCATCATTTCCAGCTACAAAGATCATCTTCATCACATTTGATGTTGATGTGAAATATTGAGAGGATGAGACACTTGTTGTTATACTGTAAAATGAATTTGGTAAAATTCTGGAATAATATTTTGAGTTTTTCTTGCTTACTTCATAAATGGTGTAGAGTCAGTGATTGAATTGAATAGTTCAATGCTGCTGCCTTGGCTGAGTTGGAGATAAACAAAGTGGAGCTGCACTACTTTTTCTTCTTCGACTGTGAGAATATAATAACATGCTTTGGAGTTATGATAGGAGTTTGGATAACCAGGCGAGTACAACTGGAATCTGTCAGTTTGACAACATATTCTTAAATAGGAGTTTTAAAGTTGTAGTTTACGGTTCCGTTCTGATCCATGAAGTAAGGGGAATCGCAGGCTGAAGGAGCTAGGGTCACAGGTGTTGTTACGCCAGGTGTAGACGTAGACTTGAAGCAGCCATTTTCTGAAAAAAAAACTTGGAGATATTTCTCACTAGGGAGGACTCAAAGTCGAAATTGGCTTTCCAAATGAATTAGATACAAATCTGAAGAGCATCAGACGTTGTTTCCAAAGCTGTCTCTGTTTCCTGCCAAGCGCCTCTAAAGGCTCAGTTATGAGTGCTTTTAGAGCGAAAAATGACAGCAGAGTCTAGGTAAAATTAATGATTATGGTTTTTCCAGCGCGCGAATTGAGAAGTGTGAGTGCGAGTATATTAGACAAAAATTTTTCATGCATAGAGTGCTCTGATACTTTCCATGCATAGAGTGCTTTGATACCCAACGCTGGACCATTTGCGCGATCTTGGACAAACTCATATAGTAAGTTTTTCAACTCCGGTTAGGCGGAAATTGGACTGGCGGGAGTCCGCTTTGCAACGATTCGCGCCGCTTTGCAGTCTGCGTCTCTGCATTCTGATTTATCTCGCTGAGCCAGTGGCGGTGCGGACGCGCTGCTCCACTTGGAATGTTTCGCCTACTCCGGGTTGGAAAAGACTGTATTAGTTGCACGTTCAGTTTTTTGAATCAAAGCCTCAATTCCCGGTCGTTTTCCTTGCTTTGGGTCGAACGTTTTAACCTTGTACTTGCGCAGTGCTGTGTCTGAGGGCGGGCACTTTCGCATGGCAGTGAAATTTTAGTGGCCTGTGACTCACCTCCATTTCGACAGTAAGCATGTCATCGTCGGAAATACTCGTCGGAAACGGCATCGTATCATTACTTTCTGCTACGAATATTCTCAGTTCACAATCACGATCCTCACTTCTTGATTATAATACTCGCTACAGCTCTACTCTTTCCAGCTCTAGAAGCTAGATTATGTAATCTTTAGCCAATTTTTCTAAGAAGTAGTCGCAGTTTTCCGGAGTTTAACATTTTAAACAAAAATCTTGCTTTACCATTCAATATTTGTGAAATTTTGACAAGAATCTCAATCTGAAAAGCATTTAGCAAAACGCGCTGTGATCTCTTTAGTTGAGCTTAGGCAGGCTCTCTCTGTGTATGATCAGTTTTTGGAGCGAAAAACGTCGCTTTCCCTACAGTTTTTCTTATAAAAGTCGGTGAAAACCTTTACTTTAAAGAATTTACCACAGGAAATGCGTTTGCACCCTGAGTAAGACCCAGCATGTATCTGTTTTGTTCAGCTTTTTTGAAGAAGCGATTATGTTGGTTGTATCCATTCAACGAAAATAGCATTCTTTATTGAATAATTGAATTCTGGCTGTGATATGTGGAAGGAAGGATTGGATATTATAATTTGGTGTCGGCTTACAGTCGATTCATTTCATATGATCATGTGTGTCACTGCACACACTGTCCACCTTTAACGTCCCCATCCTGGAATTGTAATCGCAAAACGCAAGAGACCGATCGATTGTTATTGCTTACATCACTTTGTGATGTTTGGTACCTAAAAAGGAGAAAAAGTATGAAGAAAACACCAGAAACACTTAGCAAAAGGATTGTTTGTTCCTGAAATCCAGGATGAGGACGCCAAAGGAGGACATATGTGCAGTGACACACATGATCATATGAAATGAATCGACTGTACAAAGTTTGGTTCAATTATTGAACTTTTCTAGAAAATAGATGTGAACGCCATTCGTACTTAGATGCAGTCCCAATTAACGTAAACAAATAATCAATCTGCTCCGACCTACCCACCCGTAGGGTCGCTAGTTAGCATATAATTTATGTGGAAAGCCGATTTCGACTACGGTCCTCCCCTGTCAGTTCGTACCAGTTGCTTGCGCAGGCAGATTCCCACCACGACTGTGTTTTATCCAAATTAATCCGACATATTACCTCTTTTGCAGATAAATGGTAATCGCTGTGCACATGAAACGGATAACCATTTTCCGCGTGGGAACACTTCATCTACAGCTGACAGTGCCATACAGTCGCCAATCGTTGAACTAATGTATCCTGAAGGCATTTATAGTGTAGTGAAGGGAAGCAGCATATTTTTGGGAAGGATTGATGGGAAAAGTGAGGGTAGATCGTCCAGGTTCGGCTGTCTCTTAACCATAGGTGCGATAGGGGGAGCCGGGCCCTTTCCAGGTGAAGGGGGTCTCTGCTACTCCCATCCCTGTGAGGTGAAAGGGGTAAGTGAGCCCTGAAAGCTGAATACCCCAACAAGTTACATAACATTCGAAAACTGAGGTCATGTAGAATCGACGTAGACCATCGACTTTTTTCTAGGTCTTCTGTGCCGCGAGATAGGAGGCATTTTATTTACTTCATATATCAACTGATTTTGTGTCCTCACTTTCTGCTCTCCAAATGATAGCTACGAGAAAATTGATGGTCTATGTTTGTTAATGAAGACTTGCTCTGTAACAGAGATAGATAACCAGCAGTGATTAGGTCTTCGTTTGACAGAAATCTGCTGTTGAAAATGGACATGGTTTTAGATAAAAATGCAGTGTATCTCTCGGTAGAGGGGTGCTAGAAAGGAGTAGACGTTCTACGTCGAATACCCTTTTTGTGAACTTTCGGATGATATATAGACTGCTGGGCGAAAACACTTGCCAGTTTCTAAAAATGGGGTGGAGATATTTACTATTAGCTTGCTCCATCCAGCTCCCCCAATGTATTGACTTTTATCGGTCACCGGAGCAACTGCTTTTCAGAGCTGAGAAGCAAAAAAGCCCCAACATGCCTTATACCATTCGAAAGCTGAGATCATGGGGAAAATCGGACTAGACCGCCTCTTTTTTCACAGCTTCTCTGTGAAGCGAGATAAGAGCAATTTTATACGCCTACTCCCAGCTAATTTTGTGTAATTACTTTGTGCTTGATTTTGAAAGAAGGGAAAAAATAGAAAAAAAGAGACGGTCTACGTTTAGGAAAGGAAAGGTCTTGCTCTGTGATACTGTTAGACAATCAGGCACCTTCATTCATTCTTTACGCAGGAACTTCTTGACAAAAACACACATGTTTTTAGCTAAAATGCCATGTATCTCTAGGTAGAGGGGAGCTAGAGAAAAAGAGACGGTCTACGTCGAATCCCTTCTTCGTGGACTTCCTAATGGTGTATTGGTTGTTGGGTGAAAAAACTTCTGGCTTTTCAAAAATGAGGCGGAGATATTCAATACTAACTTGCTCCACCCCGCTCCGGCTTTCTATAGGTCGCCGGAGCAAGACTTTTTTGGACTAGAAAAGCTTTGTGCACCAATACTTTATAACCATTCGACAGCTAAGAGCACGAGGAATCGACATAGACCGTCACTTTTTTCCTAGCTTTTCTGTGAAGCGAGATACGAGCAGTTTTATCTAGCTACAATATCAGCCTCTGGGTAATTATCTTTTCGAACCAAGAAGGTCTTTTCCGAACTTTTACATATGATTCGAAAGCTTGAGAAACAAGTAATCTAACTGCTTTTTTATTTTTCATCATTCCCTCTAGTGAAAGGAGTTATGGTACGATTATTGTCAGCAAACATGCATCCATCACTAACTAGTCCAACTTTTCTACTCTTGCTTAACTCTTTCTTGAGACAATGTGTATTCATTGATACAATGTTAATCATTCAAAGAATCAGACATCCTTTTTATTTTTGATTATGTTTCGTTAGCAACGCCGCTTTGAGTGCGCAGAAGGTCGTGCGATTTTTAAACAAAACGCTGTTGATTCGATAATCTCTTGCAGTCTTGATGTCTGAGAAGAAGAGCAGCTGGCGTTTCCTTTCTAAACAAAAAGTGTCACTGTAACAGCTGTTTGACTCTGCCGTTATGTCTTGGTTCTAGTCTCAACCTCAGGTGAAAGGGGTCAGCCAGATGCCGGCCCTCAAGTGTAGGGGGTCAGAGAAATTTTTCCACCTATCGCATCTATGCTCTTAACCTTGGCATGGTGGATACTCGTAGTGGAATCGACTGAGCGAACTTCCAAGGTTGATGCAATTTCGCCTTCTTCAGGGCCTGCAAGCCGCAATCATTGATGATTTCGGCTTTAGCGAATAACGTTAGCGAATAAAGAAGTGTTATCAACCTTGGAAGTTCGTTCAGCCATTCCACTACGAGGGTGGATCATTGCACAAAAGTACATAGCAATGGCGGAGTGAGCCTCCCAACCCTCCCTCCCTAAATTGATTGGCGAAATTCAAGTCGCCTCATGAGATGTTAATGATGCAAGTAATTTGTTTACACAGACAAATAAACAAAGTTTGACCTCCATAGAGGTTCAAGTTGCTTGGTGTAACGTATTGGACCACTTTCTCTGAAGCTTCAATAAAATTCTAAAAAATACGAGAAGCTAGTAAAAGTTTTTCTAGGGTGTCTTGTTTTCTCCCTTCCCTTGCAAAATGTTTTCTGTTCCGCTACAGATAAATGGAGAATAATTTTGCGAAAGGAAATGGGAAGAGAGAGGACATTGGGTCGCCGAAAGGGGAGGTCCCGCGCGGACATCTGCAACAAACACGCACTTCTCTCCATCACAGCTAGTAATAGCCGTCCACGTGGGTGGAGTCTATTAATTACCTAAAATCCTCTACAAATGGGAAGGGCGATGTAGATGAGATTATAGAGAGCAGAGTTGCAAAACTATTGTTCTCAAGTTGATCTTAAAACAAACTCACCTATATTATTGAAGTCGAAAGTGGTATTATCTGACCAAACAAACGCTTTGCCGTTTGCCTGAAGTCCAACTCGAACGTAATTCACATTGCCAGTGTATGTATCCAAAATCATTTGATTTTCCTATAGATTATATCCAGGGCCCGGCACGAGGTGGGCAAACGGGGTTTTCTAAAACGAATTCCCCTTTGACCTCAACAGTTTTTACGAATACCCGCTTGAGCCCAAAAATGACGCTTTGTGCTTGTGGAGCGAGAGCACCGGCCACACTTCGCCTAAAAGCGCTTAAAAGCGCCCTGCTCAAATACCTCTAATTACTCTTCACCAGTATCAAGATAGAAAACAGAAAAACGATGAAGGAATGAAAAAATATCAAAAGAACGCAGTCATGGGACTGGGAGACGCCGTTCCCGCGCGTATCGATTGACTGGGGCGCGCTTTCCATCTTAGAAAGCCAGGCTGCTGATGCGATTTTGGGCTCTAACAAAGACAAGAGGAGGAGTTTCGGAACCAAAATCTCACCATATAGTAAACCTCAGGGTGAACAACAGATTTATGTAAAAATTTTGAAAAAATTATGTGAATTGAAAGTTTTGCCCACCTCAGGTGGGCATTAGGTGGGCAATTGCCCACCTAATTTGGAAAAAAGTTAAGCACGCTCTTCATTCACATAAGTTTTTCATAACTTTTCATACATTGTTCCTTAGCCGTACTGCGCGTATACACACCAAGTCTCGCGCGATTTCGTTTTCTCTGCGCTGCAAACGAGCCATTATTCCATTTTCTTGATAGTGGGAAATTTTCAGAAAAAAGCTTGCCACAACCTTCATTCACATAATCTTTCAATGAAACTTCTAAGATAAGCCCTGCAGTCCCGTGTTCATGTACCTGCCAATTTTCATACCATAAGGTCACCTGTGCGCTGCAAACGAGCCATTTGAATTCACATCTTTATTTACCAATTTTGCGAAATTTTTGGAAAAGGTGCTTTTTACACCTCCCATTCACATAAGTTTTTCATAACATCTCATGCTTTGTTTCTACTAGCCTCTCTTTGTTCGCTTACGTAATTTGGTTCTATATCATTAAGCCTGCATTGAGAACTGATCATGTAATCATGCTGTTTAACGGCATCGCTCATGCGACGTCGGCACGCGGCAATTAGCGGCAACGCGGCGTAGTGCGCGCGAAGTCTGCTGTGCGTTGAGGTTTATGAAAACTATTTTCCGATAAATTAGATGTATAAGGTAAGCATAATTCGACCTTCTTTTGCTTGCACTTGGAATCTTCTTCCGGGCTCCGCCCCGGATCCCGCAAAAACGATATCCCCTTTACTTTTTGGCCCCAAAACGATTTCCAGCTTGTCATTTGCCCACCTCGTGCCGGGCCCTGATTATATCTCCTCAGTTCCCACTAGATATAAAACGCACTCACATCTGCACTATGGATAGATACAAGGTGCCCGCATTCGTTTTGACACTGTAATTCTGCATCATTCTGCGACAGAGTTTGATTGTAGCCTTTGTAGCAATAATCGCCATAGTGATTGTAATCACCACAGGATGCTATAAAGTGAGGTAACTTTTCCAGCTTCAATGAGATCCTCTGATTTGATAGATGAAGCAGAAAAACTTGCTTCAAGATTCTGAGTCAGTTTTCCTTGAAGGCATATGGCAACGATATAAGTTGACTAAGAAAAATATCCAAAAAGTGATTTTTCGATTTTTGGTTGCTAAAATTACTAAAACGTCTACTTTAAAATTCATTTCCTTGGTTTTATGACCTACTCTTCTAGACTAGAAGAAGTTGATAGTGATTGGAGAGTAGTTATAATTTCGTTTTTTCCAATTCCACTTATTCGTTTTGTTCCATATTGGTTTTCTAAAATGTACTATAAAATACTACTTTTGATATACATAACAAAGAGCATATTGTGTAAAGTAAACTGAATAATTTGTATGAGCATTTTTCAAATGATTCTTTTCTATTTCATGGTGCAAGAATTGTGAATCAACACAGTAATCACAATAGTGCCTTGTAAAAAAAACCGGGGATATCGTAAAGACAAAATAACTTTTTTTCATCTTGTTACCTCCACAGTGACTATTTCGAAATAAAAAAAATACTTACAACGGCTTGTTAAAGCGATTCCAGTGATTGCGCTGACCTAATATCTGTTGCTAGTGTCGAACGGACACCCTCTCATCCCACTCCATGAGGGACTGATATATGAGATCAATCTGCTGCCTCTTTAATTTGGAATCCAAATCAGCTTTGCGAGCTTATTTTTCAAAAATCCTATGGCAGGGCACAAAGATTAACGAAGATTCTCCAGAATTTCTAGAGCATGGTTTGCTCCCGTCTCTTTATATGTAAAAAACTTCATCGTCCCCTCTCTCGAGGACAGGGACGAATAATCTTTGAAATGATGGGACGGGCTTGTGATGCGATCGTTATCGAAAGGTGTACGATAAGTCCAACAACGATTTACTTCTTGTGGAGAGCCAATAACCTCCTACCGTGTACTACCGTAACTGACCAAACAGAAACGGCGTGCAATAGCGAAAACTTCCTTGGCAATCCGTATAAATCTTTTTTTTTCTTGAATGATCTACTCCGAAATGTGTTACACCAACAAGGTATAAGGCTCCGCATTTTGATCAGTACAGTGGCGCCTACGCTGAAGGCGGAGGCCTCATGATCAGGAAACATAAAACTGGATAAATCGTGCCCTACAGTGTTTCGATAGATATATAAATTACTATCTGCGCAAGAAAAGGTCGCGAATTAGTGTGCTAAGAAGAGTCTAACCTTTTGCTTCTACTTCACAAACGAATCCAATCACCATATTATTGCAATCTCCTGTGACCCATTTGCCACTCCGTTGTCCGTCGATCAACATACACACACATTCCTCGATTCCACTAGGATAGCCTAAAATATCAAAATCGTTGAACAAATGGCCATCAACTCGTTAGCGAGAGCTGGTCTTCAAATAAATCAGTAAAATAAATTGTTTTTACCTGGATAAAATGCGTTGTACTGATCTGGTGCTCCTTGGCCATCATCCCACCTACAATTTTTCGCATTCGCATCGGGGCATCTGAGACCAAAGTACAAAATCAAGCCAAATCAAAGTACCAACTTTTTCAGCTAGATCTTTGATTAATGCGTTAGTCTGAATCAAATATATATTGAATGAAGGAGTCAAAACAATTTGGAACTAACAAAAGCATTGTGAATAGAAGCTAATCGACCACCATCGTTTGAACATTGAACCGAAGCGACCATATAACTGCTGTGATTTGCAAAAACCTGAATGGGATCAAGATTGCAATCCTCAAATAACATGTTGTCTTACCTTGTAGCATAAGTCCCCAGTTCCACTAGCATAGCCAGATGGACAGCTGAGAGCATTCACTGAAATATTTCAGAAGTTGGGGAGACACCACGCAGATAAAAGCTCTATATGTTTAGAGTGAAGGGAGACTTTACATTTTTTGTGAACCAAAATTTTTGTGCTCATGTAAAGAAGAATTTTGTCTTAAGAAATGATGAAGAAAAGAAGGCTGTCTTCGCCTGCAATTACGTCTGGTAACCTTATTTCCTATGAGATGTTATTCGTTTATTTCATTTCCTTGCATCAAACATCTATCTACTTTACCAAACATGGTTCGCTTGTCTCAGACTCAAAGAACTTTCGAAGGAACAATTCAGTTTCCAGTCGCAGAAGGTTTACGGAAGTTTCAAGAATTCGAGACTATAAACTGATAGGCAAAGGAATTTGTCCGACTATGCCAATTTACGTTTTGTTTTGTTGACCTATCACATTCCATGTACTACAGGTAATAAAACTAAAAAACCAACTCTTCTTTTCTGATTTTCCTTCATACTATGAAGAACTCCTCTGAAAATGGAGTTTTCAGTGGAGTTTTTTTTTATTGTATTTGCCTTTTGCAAAATTTTCGCAAAATAATTTTAGCGTTCAATTTTCTTGTCTTATATAAAGTTGAATGTTAGTATGTACTTGCTGCATAAGTGTTGTCCGATTTTTTTTTTGCTCTGTTTTTGGAGCAGCAGTTCTAGGAGATTTTTACACATGGAGCGATGATATTTGTACCATTAGAAAGAGTGCATTATTTTTGTGGGTGCTAGAGTAAAGCAAGAGATAGCAGAGCCCATTCACCAATAACTTTTCATCTCGCGGCATGTACATATAAAATCTTCGGAATTTGAAGGTAGGCATAGATACATGTACCGAAACGAGGTTGAAAAACGACTCCATTTATATTCGGTCAAAATATCTCTTGGCACTGAGGATCCTATGAGCACGTTTAAGCAATGGAATAAACTTCGAAACTTTCTCTATCTACCCACGGCTACTTAGTATGCCTGCTAGTTCTCATAAGGGAGCATTGCCGTGCCAAAAGGACAGGTCTGAAGAAGAACACCGTAAAGTTTTTGAGTTCTTGCTTCTTTTCTAACAGGGTTTCTCGCAAGTACTATAATAGTACTTTACTGAAAGCCAAAAAATTGCTTGACACAGAGGAACTAAGATTACCGAAAAAGTTGATTTTGAAAGAAGTTGTGATAATTTGAATTCGAAAATTGACGGACAGAACTTATGCAGCAGCCTAATATGTATATTTACCTTTTTGTACGTAAGTTACTCATAGATTTTATTTCTAACCCGATCCTGACTGAAACTTGGCACACATACACTTTGGGGCGGGGCGAATGTCATAGGGCTTTCGTTATCGACCGATTTCGATTCTATCGATTTTTGCAAGCTGGGAGATAGAGAGAAAGCTAAAGAGGTGGGAGTGTACAAGGGGTAAGTTAGTAGTATATAGATATTAATATATATATATAATTAATCTACAAAATTTTTAAGTATAATTTTCAAAAATGTGGATTACTTTTATCGATTTTAGCTCTTTTTTTGCAAAGTCTGAATTGCGCGGCTGGGAGTTGACACAAGGGTAAGTGAGGATGCTGAGAATGCAAGTACAGCATTGACTTTTGAATCTATCAAATATCTTCATTGATTTCGTCGGTTATCGGCTTTGAGATGGGAATTAAGTGCTGGCAAAGGGTAAGGGTAGGTGAGCATCATGATGACGAAAATAATATTAATTTGAAGAGGTCCAATGTAATTATCTACTTTGTCGACTTTTTGCAAAGTGCTTAAAGAGCTGGGATGGTAGTAAAGAGAGGTACAGAAAGGTAGAGGAGCATGCTGATTAAGAAAACTTAGCGGGGAACCCGCATAACAAAAGTGGTGCAGGTCAGTGTAATGAATGGTCCCTAAACCACTGTGCATTCAGTGACCGGGAGGAGCTAGATATGCCCCCTACTGCACTAATACAACTAGATGCACTATTGCTCTACTTCCTAGGTCTTACACTTTGAAATAGTCCTCCTATAGAAAGTGTGAAAAAAATTTCTTCAACAATTTCTTGACGCAAACTTGATGTAAAAGGCATTGATGAGGAAGTATGAGGAAGTAATTGACATGGAGCACACTTTGGCAGTTTTCGGTCGTTGTGACAAGAAATCCGTAAATTCAACATTGGTTTACGCAAGATTGCTTCAGCATCTTAATAGAAAAACTTTTGAAAGGTCAGATGCTTGTTGAACGTCAAAGTTATTTCAGTTGTCTAAAGCTGAATTTTTGTATTTTGACTTTCCTTTGAATTTTTAGTTTTGAATTTCTAAATCAAAATTTTTTATAGAAAAAAGCTTGATTTGATACTTAGCACAGACTATCAGCTAACGAAAGATAAAGGATTCGACGTTTTCAATCTTTTCGGAACAGCCGAACGCATTCTATTAAGTTGTCACGAAAATAATGTCGTTTTTAATTTGCTCGACCTGGCGACCAATAAAAATACATGAGGTGTATTGTTCGATAGAGCAATGCAAGCTCTACAAGAAGACATCCAAATATTTGCTACAAATTTGTTCCGTGTTAAGTTTGAAGCCAAAATTTAAAAACATTTGACTGTATGAAAAACTTGAGCGTACTGTCTCCGTCTAGAAAAGTCCTAAGAACTTCTTACTAGCTTAGGCATATACTCTCTAAATCTGATATTATCTGTGAACTAGCTGACTTACCCGGCTCCTCCCGGCCTTGTCAAAACACTGTAATAAAGGTCCCATCCCTGTCTCTGTACAGCCTTTCTCTGTGCCCACTTCTACACTTCTACACTTCATTTTCCGTTCCCTGTGTTGTATTCGTAATCAGCATGCTCGATTACCCCCCCCCCCCTGTGCCAACTCCCAACCCCGTAGCTCAAACTTTGCGAAAAATCGATAAAATCGATAAAAGTAATGCATAATTTCAAAAACTAATATTGTATTCGTAATCAGCATGCTCGATTACCCCCCTGTGCCAACTCCCAGTCCCGTAGCTCAAACTTTGCAAAAAAAATCGATAAAATCGATGAAAATAATGGATATATCTAAAAACTGAAATTGTATTCGTAATCAGCATGTTCGATTACCCCCTGTGCCAACTCCCGGCCCCGTAGCTCAAACTCTGCAGAAAAATCGATAAAATCGATAAAAGTAATCGATAATTCTGAAAACTAATACTGTATTCGGAATCCCCATGCTGACTTACCCCCCTGTGCCAACTCCCAGCCCCGTAGGTGAACTCTGCAAAAAATCGATAAAAATCGATAAAATCGATAACGATCGATGACGAAAAGTAGCCTATGACACCCGCCGGGGCCCGAAGTGTATGTGTGCCAAGTTTGGTCCGGATCGGTTCAGAAATGGAATTTTCTATTCGGAACATATCTACGTACATACAGACATACAAACATACAAACAGACATTCAGCTTTATATATAAGATTTGTTCATTTTTTCCATGGTTAGAACTCGAGAAACATACATACCTCAAAATAGGTCAGTATAGAAATAAAACCCCCAGAAAAAGTGCCTTTTGCGGGGGTTCTCGCCCTAAATTCAATACTTCTCAGAAACTATCGTTTGTAAGAGGCAAAAAATTCATGTTGTTACTTCCAAAGATGCATACTATAGAATTACCTACGTGGGAGCAGCCTAGCGCGTTTTTGACAAAAACAGAAAAATAATTTTTTCTCCATTTCTAACCATGGAAAAAAATTAGCAAATTCACAGATGACTACCAAATGTGGAAAGCGCTTGCCTGAGCAAGCAAGGACCTCGTAGGAATTTCTAGACGGAAATACGATTTTTTTCGGTTCGTGCATTTGAGTTCTTTTAGATTTTGGAACAAACTTTGAGCACATATTTAGATGCTATCTCGTAGAGTTTGCATTGCTCTAACGAATGGTACCCCTCATGCATTTTTGAGGTTGCCTGGTTGCGGTGCCATAGCATGGAAATAAAAAGCGACATTATTTTCTTGACAACCTAATACTTACCAGCCAGGCTTGATACCAGCCGGTATCAAATCAGTGCTTTCGTCCTTTAAGATTACTCTGGTAGTACCAGTCTACCGTCCCCAGAGGGTAGAAAGCTTGGTTGGACCGTGGTGAATCAAACTTTGATCCGACCTGTTCATAGCGGCGCCTCATACCACTACGCCACTCGACCCCACTGTCAGCTTACATGTAGCGATTCTCTGCTATGGATTTTACTAAAATCTTAAGGAAGTACGCCGGAGCTCTTTGTGTACTATAAGATTTGGATTCACAGTCTTGCAATCAATTTTTGAGTTTTGAAACATCGTGAGCGTTTGATCGAATGATATCCATAGCGCTGAATGTGTGCGAAAATATATTGTGACTCTAAATTTGTTAGCGCCTCTTTTATTCAAGTCTAATTCACAAATTCAAATACTAAAGAAATACTAGAAGGAAAATTTGTAATCTATGGGACTCACCACAGTAAAACAGTGAAATTACTACAATTGCAGAAGAAAGCATTGTTGTAACCAGACTGAAGGTACACAAAGTGTTCCTTATGTACGCCTTCACAAGCGGAGTCAGCGATAAGAGGACTACTTACCTTATCAGAAGAAAAATCGGAAATGGGCATTGAATAATGTCATAGCGCACCTCTAAGCAAAAAAAAAACTGATAAGGAGGAAAAAAATGTGCTATAAGACAAGGTAGTATCAAAAACAGATAAGGAGGAAAAAATGTGCTACAAGACAAGATAGTATCTTTGAGGCCAATCTCCGTTTCGTCAGATAACTTCATTTCACCAGCGGAATAAAAGAAGGCTAAAAGACTGTATGTGCGTAGGCGTTAACTATTTATCTTATGATATCTAAATCGTGCGGGCAGGAGGAAATGTTAGAGGATGAGAAGATCAAAAAGTACGTGGATGGGATGGGCAAGTTAAAACTACCTATACCCATAGTATTAGGTTGTCTCATAATTTTTTACCGTTTTTACTGCAATTGCTGTCTTTTCGCACCTT